TATGTATATATGTATGTATATATGTAGACATAGTAATATTTAGATATATAGACCTGATTATATTTAGGGAAGGAAACCACAACAAAGACTTAAAATGCTAAGATCACATCAAACATGTAAACATTAAACATTAAACATTAAACATTAAACATGTGTTTGTGTCACTGTGTCTGGCTCATGAAAACCTTGGAGCTGCACAAATAAACCTACTTTGCTTTCATCAAAGATCTAAATAATCGTTTAACAACTGATGCATCTGAATAAATACATCTGAAAGGTGAACTCTCATAAAAAGTGCACACTACACCGCCTCGTGTCTCAGCGAAGCTCCTGAATGCAGAGTGTTTAAACTGGAGTTTAAGTATCTGGAGCCTGCGAGCCGACACTAATCCAGGTTCAGAGTTAATCCAGGTCCACGTCCCCCTACAGGGGGTGAGTCTGGTCTACATGAAGAGACGCTAACAGACTCTTTAGCTTCTCTCATCACAGCTCAGAGCTCGCTGGAGGAGAAACCAGAGGAACCGCAGAGAGACGAGTGAAAGAGAGAAGCGAGGTTCTCCGACGTGTTTGGACCTGAAGCAGAGAAGAAACAGCGTGAGGGAGTTCAGTCTGCTGCAGCTTCACTCACAGAGGATAGAGACTGACTCTACACTGGAGCAGTCGACAGCAGGGTTACCTGCTCACCAGCCTGATGTTTAGTCACGTTTAACGTACATTACTGCAATACATCAGACGGCACACACACAGGAACAAACACGCAGCGCATCATGACTTATGATCCAAAAATGCCAGTTTGCTGATTTGGATAATTACGGTCCATCACACAAATATAACATTTGTATGTGTTCGTATATTTAAAGTATATTTAACTACAGATAAAACCTTTTTTTCATAATAACTTATTTTATTTGTTTGATCTTCCTGTTCTTTAGGATGGGGAGCCGATGCACTTCCTGTTATTGTTCTCTGGTGATCTATTGAGACTCCTCATCTTTTGGATTTTCATCTCTTCTCTGCACAGAAAACTGAACTCTTTGTTTTATGAACAGATATTTATTGCGAGGTGTGGTGTGATTATGACTCCGTGTTCATTAATGTGCATCACTTACTGTTTGTACCGCTGCACTTCACACACAGTCTACCACAGTATTATACTGCAGTATAATCTGTATATATATTCTACTTATTTATATATTTTAACTTCTGCACTATTTCCTCTTTATACTGAAGCTTTGCTAGACGGAGCCTGAGAACAAAGAAGTTATTCACAACAAATGTAATAGTTGTGAATATGACAAACAAAGACTTGAATCTGAAACATGGTGTATTACACAGTGTATTAAGCTGATTCCAATATTTAGGGCACAAGAGATGATATTTGATGGAGTTGTTGCACTTATTTAAATCTGACAGCATCCATTTCAGACTGTTAAACTTACTTCTGGGAGCATTTTGCGAGCAGCATCGGTCTCTCTTCTGGGAATCAAACTGGGGGCCACCATGAAAACAGTGCATACGATGCTTAACCACACCTGGTAGTGCCCGACATGTCTGCACGGAGCTGTCTCTGTGCTTTAGGTAAACTGTTTAAAACTGAGTCTGCAGTTCATTCACAATAACTCAAAATAAAGCATTTCTTCACTCGTGTCTCTGACGGTGTATTTGTCTCCTTATAGTCAGACATCTCTTAATAACCTTTAAGGTTACGTGTAACATAACATATGATAACACATGGTGTCTGTGGACGTGTGTGGTACGTTATCGGCACAAGAGGAAGTGCAGACAGCTTGTCTGTGACTTCCTCTGGTGTCTCAACAGTGCTGAGCTCCATGTAAAGCAGAGAGAAGTGAGCAGGTTCATGTGTGAGGTGCAGGTGTCCTACCGCATCAGTCCTGTTGGGGGGGGGGGGGGGGGCGACTGATCTAAAACTCTCTCCGTCTCTCTTTGTTTTACTTCATCCCCTCTTTCTTTGAGACAGGCCGTCTGAGGGTCTGTCCTATACTCCATGGAGGGGCGTCCTAATGGGCACTCTATCATGTTTTCTCCACTGGAGGGGCATTCCAGAGGACCCTCATCAGGTTTTCTCCTCTAGAAGGACATCCTAATGGGCACTTCATCATATTTTCCCTTGAAAGGCATCCTAACAGGTACTTCAGCATGCTTTCTCCACCTAAAAGGCATCCTAGAGGGCACTTTTGCAGATTTGTGTTGGAACACAGTGTTGCTAAGTGTTGATTATTGCACAGTGTTTGTCAACAATTTTGACCTCTTACATTAAGATGTATTTCATCCAGCTGTACTTGAGTACATCGTGACATCACTGCAGCAGGTGAGACGTTAAACCGCTGGGCTCTTTCAGGACGGAGAGGTGTCTCATGTGTGCAGATTGCAGAGCACCTCTGAGACTGATCTGTGATCTGAGGCTGTGCAGTTGAAACTGACGGACGTATCACCAACATCAGTCTGGAGCTCACTGCTGCTGTAGTGTGTGAGAGCAGCACATTCATGATGATGAAGGTTGTTTTCTTTCATTGTGTCATCATTTAATAAATAACAACCAATGAAACTCCTCTGTCTCTCTCCTCGTCTTCCTCCATTGGGTCACATGACAATCCCATCCTTCTCGCTCGCCCACAGCTTGATTTCACTGTTGAATCACCTCTCTCTCTCTGTCTCTCTCTCTCTCTCTCTTTATCGATTAGCCCGGCAAAGACATTATGCCTTATGTATGACGTTACATGGAGGAGAGAGAGATCAGTGATTATCACCTCGAGGTGTCTTTGTATCACGTTTCCTTTGTGCCAGATACATAGTTGTGCGATTACAATCTTTCTTTAAAAGTCATCTTTTTTGTACAAACCATTGGCTTTGTCCAAAACGCATCACTGTGTATATTTTTAAATGATTCTATTAAACTCGGTCAGTTAAAATTTGTATGCACAAATGTTCTGCATCGCATTGAACTTTAGTGACCAACATTATATTATATTATTACATCAACATTATATTATATTATTACATCAATATTATATTATTACATCAATATTACATCAATATTACATTATATTATTACATCAATATTACATTATATTATTACATCAATAT